TTATGAACAATTGTTAGAAGTGACTCACATTCAAAACGCACCGTTAGATTTTGGGCGTCAGTTTTTTAGGATGCAAAAGAAATTTTATTGATTGATTATCTGCAGAAAGGTAAAACAATCAACTCTGAATATTATTGCAGCTTTTTGGATCAGCTGGATGAAAAATTTTATGAGAAAAGACCTGGTTTGCATCACAAAAAAATAATTTTTCATTAACAATGCACCTGCTCACAATGGTGTTTTAACAATTACAAAATTCAACGATAAAGTACGAATTACTTGAGCATACTCCGTGTTCACCAGATTTGGCTACCAGCGACTACTCTGAAACAATTCCTTCGTTGAAAGCGTTTTTCGTCGAATGAAAAAGCTATTAAAACCATAAACGGGTATTTTGCAGAGCTTCCGGAAAGTCATTAAAGGGATGGCATAAAATTATTGGAAGATCATTGAAATAAATGTATTGAAGTTAAGAGATATTATATTGAATAAAAAAATATATTTCGTACCAAAAACATAATTTTATTATTTGGAGCGCAGAAACTTTTCAACCAACCTGTATATGTATGTATACTTATGTAAGAATGTATGTGTATACTTATTGAAGTAACATATGGTATGCGCTAAAAGATGTTGCCCCAGTTAGGTGCTCAAAAAATTTCCGCAACCTCGGTCAGTACAATTTTGACTGGAGCTTACATATACGTAGTTTTATATATTTTAACCGAATGAATACATTTTGATTGTTGAAAATAGTTATTGACTCTGAATTTAGAGCTTTTAACTTATGTTGAATTATCATTAAATTCTAGTTCCATAACCATGGATAAAAGCATATATGGCATTTAACATAAGACCCTTAAAGTTGTGCCAATTGCGCTGAATGTATCTCGACATATGTGGGTATGTGGGTATGTGTGTAACTGTAACTTATATATTAAATAAGATAAAGCTAAAGAATTTTTCAGTAAATTAACTGAACCCTTTATAGCAGAGATCTGTCATTCAAGTTAGTTGGACATCACTTTAACATAGCTTATACGAGGTGTATTTAATAAAACGGGAATTTTCGTTTTTTTTTTTTAATATATATATTGATTTATCTACATTAATGTTGCCGCCATTCAGATATTATCCATCTATTCGATAATATCCACTTATGTTAGCCCTTCTTCCAATTCCTCGAAACACTTCTTACTTACCGATCTAAACAGCGGCTGCTACAGATAAAGTAAGCAATAAATACAGTTGACAATTTTATCGTACTTCAGGCGCATGTATATTTGGCAATTGGACTCTTCAATCCCGCGAAATCTTATTTTTCAAATTCTCGTTATTTTTTGAACACACCTCGAATTGCATTACAACTCTCTTCTGCGATGAAATTTCAACTGGAAAATAATTTGAAATGCACTCGACGCGCATATATGTATAAACGCAAGCTCTTCATTAGAATCAGGGATAATGGGATGTCCAACCCTTTCCAATGTGAGAGCGCCTCAAAATAAGCGGGTAATTTGTCGCAGAGTATTGTTTTGCTTAGTATAACCAATTGTCAATGTATATACATATTTTGGTTAGAATTGCCATTTGACTTCCGAATAATTTATCAAAAGAAAGAAATATTTATTTAACGAGTGTATAAAAAAGAAATAAGGTTCATGTTTAGGTTATTTACAACTTGTAAGTGCTTTGAAATATTAAAATATTTTTTTTAATTTAGTTTTAAACGTTAATTTAGAAAATCTTTTATGATTAAAATATACATATACATATATTTAGACGTCACATAGGATATCTAGCTTGTTAAACTAAATTTATTTTTGTATATTTTTCTGTAAAATGGAACCCGAAAAATACCCAAGAAATACATTAAAAAATCTCAAAACTTATTTCTTTCCTTAGTGGCACCACTGTCAAACGTTATAAAAAAAATGTGGACTTTGACAAACTCTGTGGACTCTCGAATCAAAGAGTTTCGGATCATTTTATCCATGGTAAGTCTATTCATGACAAGGATGACATGATGCGAGACTTTCTCATTTTCGCTGATTTTTCTGTTATTCTCTTTCCCTGATTATTAAAATCAGGGAATTTCGAACAGCTGATGTCAAAAAAGGCGGGATGCCAAAAATAAACCCGCTAAAAATAGCTAACAAAAGCAGTGCGAAAAGAAATTTCAAGGAACGACACAAATACTTTTGAATAACGTGCAACTAAATTTTATTTGTTAATTTAATTTAAAACGTTCATTATAAAACCATGATATTTTATTATGACTTGTATTGTCTCTTTGTTATAATTTTTTTTTATTTATATGCTATTTTTTTATGTTTATAATTTTTAAAAATTTTATAATATAAATACAAGTATATAGGGATGTATATGCGTTATATAGGCCTATTCGGGGACGGAGCACCTAAAAATAATATCGGAATGCAAAATACCCCTAAGTTTTTTTTATAATACCCAATCCATTTTCGTTCGACAGTGGCATGATTGGCAAATGTTATAAAAAATGTGGGTTTTGACAGCTCTCTCTCGATTCAAAGAGTCTCGCATCATTTCATCCTTGTTCATGATGAATTGCCAAACCAAACTGAGAATAAATCACTTGACAGCTGTTAAATCGGTCACCATCTTGAACAGTAATGCCAACTTAAAGTTCTATACCTCGAAAAAAAACCCGTTACTAGTGCACGAGTTTTAAGTGTCTAGGGATGTGATGATTTTCCAAATTTTTCCTAAATCGCCACGCTGTTTACCAACTCAAACGGAAGTTTTTTTTTCATCTCTATAATGGTTGTACTTCATTTGTCGTCAATTCATGGTTAATTTGAATTTTGTTACTTCATTTTCCATTCGTTTGCTTTGCTTCAACTTCAAAATTGTAGTTGTTGCTCATTTAATTCTGCTTCATTTTGTGATTGTCATTGTTGTTGATTTTCTTTTGTTGCATTTTCAAATTTTTAATTTGTTTTGCTGTTATTTTTTACTATTTGCTCTCTTTTTATTTTCTCAACCTACTATGAAAATACTTGTTATTGCTTTTCAATGGTATTCCTAATTTTTCCAGTTGTTGCATGAGTTATTTTTATTGTTGTAGTTCTGAGAAAATACTCAAACCACTACCTCATCTCTAAGTTGACACAATCAGGTGCATTTGCTGCCATTTCTGTGGCACAACCACTGTAACATTGGCATCCACAACTAAAATCACACTTGCATGCCAAGCTTCAAGTGAGTTGAACTGAAACTGAAGACAACTTTAAGTTCGCCTGCCTTGTTTACACTTACAAATTTTGTTGGCATCGGTACCGGCAGACGTAAACGAAGAGCTGAAAAAAGTATACTCAAATAAAAAGAAACGATATGCGAGAAAACGGTAAGGAAAGGCTGAAAAAACCTCAGAAGCATTGAAGCGTTTATTGGAAAACTAAGTGGCAAGTATGCGGAGCAAGTGCGACAAACGTGACCGACTGTGGCTGTGGCAACGCTTCCATTTGGCGAGGCGTAGATGAATGCAGAGTGCGGTGAACATAGCAAACTATCTGCCGATAAGCAGGAAAGTATTTTTGAGAAGCGTGTCGAGTTACTTAACTCAACTGAACTCAAATATGTGCTCGCTTCAATGTTACAATCACACTTTTTTTTGCATATTTCAATGATGAATCCTTAAGTAACGTCATTACGGTATTTTTGTTGTAGCGGCAGAATTCTATTGGGTGGTGTGAAAAATCATGGCACAGTATAAAATCCGAAAATCAACTAAAGTTGGACAATTTTTTTGCTGCCCTGTCACCGACGTCAATGGGTGTCAATATAAACAAAGAGTATGAAAACAAAACGTGGAATATTTTGAAATAGTTCCGAATTAGCATTCCTCGTAAGAAAGAAAAGACAAAAAAAAGCAAATGAAAACTTTTGGGCACAAGCAATATTAGGAAATTATGCTTCTTCCAGCACAATTCCGCTATACAGTTGCTATAACGTGCCTACAAAACTTTGAATTGAATGTGAATGAGGTTCGACAGAAAAAATGTGTACATAGTTTAATTAACTGACAACGGAATCTAGAATGCAAAATGACGAAAGAGCGATTTAAATACGTTGAAGGATATCACAAACACCACTTAAAAATATTTGAGAAGTACCTATTTGTCAAGAACAAAAATTTCTATCTTCTTGTTCAAATCCATATTATTAAATCAAAGAAAATTAAAAAACAAAGTTAAAAAATAAAATGGAATAATTTTAGGCGAACCAGGTATTTAATGATGTTGTTGTAATAATAATTTAAGGCGTTGGCTCTCAGGTGCTAACAAATGCTACTCCTATCAGAGTTATTGGTCGGCAATATTTATGTTTATTTAATATATCGGCATAAAAATATGTATATAGTGAATCATTTCAAAAAACAATTCTGATTGTGTTAAAAAAACAATAGCAATTGATTTTGATCATACATATGTTCATCATTTCGGATTCTTTAAAGCTGAAAAAAATTTTCATTTATGATTAATTTTACTAACTTGTTGAATTTTCAGTTTTATTTTAATGTATTCAACTTAACAAGTATGTTCCAAAAAGAATTTGGACATGTTATGGATTTTATTGGCAAACTTTATTACAAAATGCCTGAGAAGTACAGTTATGGTTTACAAAGTTTAGTACACAAAAAAATATAATACATATTTGACCAAATATTTAAAAATTTCAAAAGCCGATCTTAATAAAAGCCGAACTAAAATAGCGATCAGGACTTTTTACGCCAATTCCGATGTCACCGGAATGTATATGCATATGCACAATATATTTAATTTAATTTAATGTGCACCGTTTTCATGTTCCCAAAAATAAATCAGGAAAAAAACTTTTTTCGGGCTTTAAGGGTATTTCCCTACTTAGGTTTGACAAAAACTATATTTGCATCACCCCATATGCACCCAATTACTGAGATACAGTACATTTGGCGCTTTTACTGGGATCAATGAACTTACCTAATAATCGCATCACCTCCTGTGGATTCAGATACACGTTCAAATGAGCCTGAACATTGTAGCACCAAAGCAGCAGGCAACATGTACAGCTCAACGACAACGTTTTAAAACTTCTATAAATTTGTGTAGCCATTTTATGTACACCTTGCTCAAAGAAGGCTGAAAAATGTTTAGCTAAATATAAACTTGGAGATAGTCGGCAAAAAACGCCAATTAATAGATTTGGAATTCACGCTAAATAGAAGCACGTTGCACAAAGAAAACATAAATCGCACAATTTGCGATAATCATGTAAACAAAATATTTATACAAACTCGGGTAAATTCTTCTATTTTTCTTTTGACACTTTATATTTTTGTTGTTTTCTTTGTTTCTGTTATTGTACATCACTTCAGCTGACATGAGGGATGTAAACAAATTGAATTTTTCACGGCTGCGCCCGACGATATTGACAATTTTCACTTTTTACCGGCTGCCTTTTCTTGCTCTATACCCGACAAAACACATTTTAGCGAATTTTCTTCTCATTTACATTTCCTAAATAACCTTTTTGATTAATAAACATATGAAATTCAGGCAAATATTAACACGAATTGCCGAAAACACATAAACAGATCAACTTCTATAATATCCCTCTCACGAACATCTTTCTTTCACGAAAATTTTCTGTCAACTAAAATTGATATTTTTGACAGTTCATGCGCAGCATTGCCAACTGTCAATGTGAACTTTTCGATAAACAGTGCCATCCGTCGGCAAAAAATTGAAGTTAGCGAAGGGGAGCTGTGGATTCTAGTTGTTTGTGGATTTTATATGCTTGCGGACCGTCTTGCCTATTATAACAGTTAATAAATGTGGGACAGGAGAATTTGTAGGAAAAGAAGTTTACGTGATTAGTTTTTCCAGCCAATGTAAAACATATATACATATGAAGCAATTTATACGTTCTTAGTATTTTTTAACTAAAAAAAGATACGTGTGGCACTCGGAACTGCCGCGGTAAAGCTATTGCAAAGCATTTTTTTTATCAACTTTTGCAATATTAATTATTTATTTACTTTTTATGCAGTATTTTTTTTCTTTGTTATTAATTCAAGTTTTTTCTTTGATATTAAATCAAGTTACACTTTTTCAGCGTGGTGACGGATAAGTAAACAAATATTTTTCTTTTATTGAATAAATGGAAAGTTTTTACTGCTTAAAATATTTATTCAGGGATTTTTCTCACTGAAACCAGGGATAAAGGGATGCCCAACATTTTCCAATGTGAGAGCGCCTCAAAATTATCATTTTTAATAATATTTTCCATTGTAGCCAAAATGGACAAAATTAAAATAATATTTGGGAATTTAAATAAAAATACCCAACATTTATTACGATTAGATATTATACATGTATCCGTTAACCATATGCAGAAACTATTTAAACCCTTTTGTGTAATTTTGTAATATATTATATTAAAACCATTGATTTTTGAACTTTCAATACTAAATCAAAAGAATAAATGTATTAGCTCTCAATTAATAAATATTTTTCTTTAATTTTCAATTGAAAACTAATACTACTAAGCATTGTATCACAAAAGATTTCATCACATATATTTCAATTTCGCGTTTTCTTTCATTTTGATTGTTTTGCAATTGTTAGTGATCTTCAACAGCAGCAACAAATCCTTCTCTTTACATATTTTTCTGTAGGATTTCAATCTGTCCGTCCCTGTTTTTCCAATTTCTAAACGTCAGACCTCCTGAGCTTTTTGACAGTTGCTTGAGTTCAGGAGGTTTTGACGTTTAGCAATTGCGCTCTCATTTCGAGTGGGAGATAAGTTGGGCATCTCTTTATCTCTGATTGAAACTAAAGGTAACTGAAATAAGAAACATAAGTTTGAGACTTGATGTCCTCTAAATATTTGGAAAATACCGCGTCAAGGGTGGTCCCATATTTTGTTGTGGATTCTTGTGGATCATTATTCATTTTCAAATTAAATTTTTCCGAAAGAAAAGTTGTCAACCGCTCTGATTTGTTATGAGCGAAGTTGATGTTGAAATTGTTAGCCAAGGTAAGTGGATATTTATTACCATTGAATACCTAATTTCAATTATAATGATGTTAAATTCAAGATTGTTAAATTCAAACGAGATATTGTTCCAAAAGGTGGTATTTACCAAAATAATAATAATGTTACTAATATTACGACTCCGAATATTGAATAATTTATTTTTTATTAATTAAGTTTTTATTAAATTCCATATTTATCTGTTATCAGTTTTGAATCACCCTGCTCTTCAAGTGATTTGTTCCGCTAGAGATATGCCTAAAATTATGGAAACATTTTGCGAAACTTTCTGGTCGTGTTAGGTTTATTTCCACTACGAAATTTCTTGATTCAGTCCCCGCGCTCAAAGCCCGCGATAGATGCTGTACAATAGCTTAGCTCCAAGTATTTATTTAATTTTCGTATTCAAGTCACCGATCATGGATAAACACCAGCTACTAATAGCTTTTTGTGTGTTATAGATACAAATATGTCGTTGAATTGATATATTTTATCCAAAAATTTATAATTAAAAGTATTAAGACAAGATATAAAATATGTATGAACACCAGTAGTATTTAAGAAGTATTCTAGTCAAGCGGCGTGTTACTGTAGTGTTTTTGCGGTTGCTACAAATGGAAAATAAAAAAGTATTTCCCAAAAATTTTTAATAAACCATTAGTTTGTATCGCAGCTATATGTTATAGTGATTCGATCTGAACAATTTGTTCAGAGATTATAGCGTTGCCTTGGGCAATAATCTATGCCAAATTTCGTGAAAGATATCTTGTCAAATAAGATAGTTTTCCATACAACGACTTGAGTTTAATCGATCACTTTGTATGTCAGTTATTTCCTATAGTGGTCCGATAATGGTGGTTCCAACAAATGTGCAGCTTCTTGGAGAGTGGGACGTGTTTAAAATTTTAGATTGATATCTCAAGAACTGAGTGACTGGTTCGCGTATATACAGACAGATGGACATGGCTAAATCGACTCAGCTCGTCACGCTGATCAGTTAAATATAAAATTATATAAGTATCTGAAGTTTCCTTCTGGACATTACCAAACTTTGTGACAAACTTAATATACCCTGTTCAGGGTATAATAAAAAAATTGTAAACTCAAACTGTTATAAACTGTTGAAGTGAAGTGCTTGCCTTAAACACTCCAAATGATCTGAAACAAAACAAGAAAAATTATTTATATAGTTAAATGCTGCTATCGTATTAACTAAAACTAAATTTGCTAAATTGGAGATATTGTCAAAATAAAAAATTATACACCTTCAACTAACTTTTTGATTTTTCTTAATTCATTTATAAATTGTAAAAATAATTATTTTGTTATGTTGCTCTAAATTCGAAAATATTAAGACCTATGAAAGCTCCATTCAACAACACATACTTAAAAGGTTAAGCTTTCATCGATAGTTGTTTCCTAGTATAAAGAGAACGATAAACGATATGATATGCAATGTCATACAAATCACAGGATACAAATACCTTTATTTATTCGTAGGTAAGTTTTTAAACTTAAGAATAGCTAATGTATTTACTATCACAAAGAAAAACAAAAGCTATTTCTATCGCTTTTCTCTTAGTAAGCTGTGAAAAAATAGGGACATTTACAAAAATTAATAATAATAAATACAATAAATAGCGATACGTTATTAGTTCTAACGGTAGAAGGTTGATATAAGAGGAGTCGAACGATTCTCGTCAGAAATAGCAATAAAATAAGTGAATAACACCAAGTCCACATCGAAAAAAAGTAGGGAAGTGCCAAGTTTGTTTGCAACCGAATTTTGCAATTATCAAGGATTGAAAGCTGGGAAATATTTTCAGGTTTTCACAAAACAATATATTATATTACACAGTGTTGCATATGAATGAAATATTCTTTACAATAAAATAATTTACTAGCTTATAGTATGACATATCAAGGACTCACTTGTCTTTACCATAATTTATTTCATATTTCAAAAAACTATATTAAAATAAAAAAAATAAGTAAGGAAGAGCTAAGTTCGGATGTAACCGAACATTTTATACTCTCGCATAGTCAAATGGTATACTCTTTTGAGATTTCTTTATATATTTTAATAATTAGAAGTAGGCACTGTTGCCTCAGTTATTAATTGATAACACCATTTATTTATATATGTATATATATGTTTCAATTGCACATATATCTTACACATTGACCGATATTTTCGGTAAAAAGTCAACTATAGGCACTGGGGTCCACATATTTAGTACCTAGGGGCTTAAACAGTTTTGGTTCGATTTAGACAATTTTTGGTCACAAGTTGGCATACTTTAAACGCATCATTCACGCAAAGTTTTATACAATCATTTTTGCTTGATTTGCATAGTGGAAAGTGAAAGAATCAGATGGAATTTAAAATGGTGTTATATGGGAAAACGGCGTGGTTGTAATCCGATTCCGCCCATTTTCACACGTTATAACATAGAAATATGAGGAGAAGTTATGTACCAAATTTTGTGGAAATCGGTTAAGCAGATCCCAAGATATGGGTATTCAACTAAAAGTGGGCGGTGCTACGCCCGCTGTCGAATTTGAAGGCGATTCCTATAAAGTCATCTCATGCCATCCCAGAGATAAAATTGAATGTCTGATTTATCGCGCTTTTAGTAGTTTTTAAGTTTTTAAGTACCGTTATAGGGGGGGTGGGCGGTGTTGTCACCCGATTTCATCCATTTTTACACTGTCGATAGAGATGCTAAAAACGTTCGGCTTCAGTGAATTTTCTTAGTATATCTTTAGCGGTGTAGGAGATATGCACATTAAACCTATTAGGGGGCGGGATTTTATATTTTAATGTATTCCACTATATTTATTAGTTAATAATTTATATGAAATATTGTAAAATTAAAGGATTTGCTGGAATTTAAAAATGTGTTATAAGGATATTAGGTACAGTTACAAATAATGGGGACACCTACATTATTACATTTCAAACCCTTTCTCTGCCTTAAAATATAAAAATTGGTCACTAAGTTTTACTTAATTTTTTGATGAGATGTCAAGAAAGCAAATAACCGTTATTAAAGGACAATTATTTTGAATCGTTTCAGAATAGTTGAACATTTTGCGAAGTGAGTTCACTTACCCTGTGGGAAATATGTTAATAGGGACGTGAAACTTGATCAAATAATTTCTTTGTAATATTGTGCTGAAGGTATCAAGAATATGATGGAATATAATTATCTGTATAACGAAATATTGAAATGGCGTAATATCCTATGGTCAGATGAATCTAAATCAGAGATCGGCATTTCATAGAGCAATTGTGCAAGCTAACTTTACACCGTAGACTGAATCAGCTGATACGACCTAATTTATGAGAGCGCAATGTAAATGAACACTCACCTCCGCTTTTACCGTCCATGTATGTGACTATTCGCGAAAATAAGGCTTGTCCCGTAGAAACGAGTCAGCTGATTGCTCTCTTACAACGCAGGGTTGCCAGTCTCGATATTTTGTATGGTGTTATGAATTACCTAAAGACAATAAAATGAATGTTTTTAGGGTTTACTATATTTATTTTATTTGTACAATATATAAAATAAGTCAGGAAGCACGAAAGTACTTGTGTAAACAAAGAATGAAAAAGATTCACAAAATTTAAGGT